CTGCCCTCGCTGGCACTTCTCGGCACTCCAGCTCTCTGATAGCATATCTCTGCTATCTTATCTCGCTGTCGCTGTAGCGGAACTGACCATGATAGCTCCATCAAGCTGTACACGCCCTCCCTTTGTTACATACAGACATCGGCCATCAGATTCTGCAGAAACAATGCGTACTCTACAGCATTTTTCCTGCAGCAAAATCATCCCGCCAGAATAAAGGAATCCACATGGAGACGCACGGAGGAGCGGTCGGTGTCCGTTGCCATCAGAGTCGGCCGGAACAGGCAAGGCGGGGGGAGTTGGATGCGTCGTCGTTGGCGTCGCACGGCCGCCGGCAGGAGATCGAGGGCCGGAAACGAGACCGGAAGAGGACGAAGGAGGTCCGGAACACTCGAAGTTATGGGCTCCTTTCCTACCGTTGCGGAGGACTAAGCGTGCCTTCGGCTGGCCCGGACGAGAAGACTGGCGTGACTTTTCCCATAACAGCGTTTGCACGTTCGGGATGATGATGAGAAGATGACAATGTCAATGACGCCGACGACGAAAAAATGATGCAATGATGACACGACGACGACGATGATGGTGAGGGTAGTAGTAGCAGTGGGAGCAGCAGCAACGACAATAAGTAAATTAGTTCATAATCACTAAAACTAGTGTGCTAACACGCGGATAACGCTCTCTTCTCTACTTTTTTCAACGATCGCTTTTCGAGACGCGTGTTTCCTCGCCGTTTTATTATCTATCATAATTGGAATGGACTCGAAAAGGGAAGGCGCGTCCGAGAGACAGCTTCCAGACGCATCCAGCGTGGCTTTCCCGCCTTCTCTGCAGACGACGAGCTGCTCCTGAGCTCGTGATCAGGCCGTCGCGAAAGCGGCGATGAAGGGGGAGGGTGTAACGTTTTAAATATGCCGACAAAAGGACGCGGCTATTGGGTGCGGTCATAAATACTTAGTCGTATCTTAAAATTATTTATTTAGTAGTCGCGTTACTCATCGGAACGCGCCATGATCATTCATCGATCTACAAAAGATACATGGCTGAGAAGTTTCTTGGAATCTGCCGATACACCCCCCCCCCCTTCGCGATGGCCCTGCTCGTGACCTCGTCGCCGCGTCCCCTCCTGTCGTGGGAGGCCTCCCTCGCTGGATCCTCGCCCGCCTCCTTCCAGAATCCCCCGGGGACACAGGGGGAAGCCCTCTCTGGCGCGAGCGAGTGCGAGGAACTCAGCCTCCGGTGGTGCCTCCTCCCGGAGCCCTGCAGGAGGTCGGAGGGCGAAGGACCTCGGCGCAGCAGCACGAATGTGGCTTTGCTGCCTCTCCGGGAGCCAGCCAGCGAGGGAAATCAAGGAAGACCAAATAAAAAGACCAGAATCATCAGTGACCTTAGCTGACCTGGTACAAGCCAGCCCGCGTTCGGCCCCCGCTCGCACTGGCCTGCTACATTGTTAGCGATTTCCCCTTGACGTGTAAATGTTTGCTGTAAGGCGGCACTTCTGCCCGCGCGTGCGAAGTGCCTGGCAGGGCAGTGTTTGATGCCGTTTTCAAACACTGAAACCTGCTCTCTTGCTTCCCGTGAGTTCTATGAAGTGATCCAGACTCTATGAACAAAAGGTAATACATTTTGTAGCAATTTGGATTCTATCAAAATTGAAGACATTGATTTCCTAAATTCTAAGATCATGAAATATATTTTATTGATGTGCTATTTTCATATACATGATATCTGTATGAATTCAATGAGAATTGCGTAACTGCGATGTATGTACGTCCCTGGATATTAATACTTTTTGTTTTGAATCATAAAGATCACAGGTTTTATCTAAATATTTTTTTTAACAATAACATAGCTTAAAATCATAATTATTCTCATTACTATCGAGTGTTAAAAATAACCTTCCAATAACCGGCCAATTCATATTCGCATAAAAAGTGAAATATTCATATGTATTACATTTGCATCTACGCAACCTGATTTTCCAACCCTGGCTCCAACAAGCACGAGGTCCAGCAGGCGGCGTCCGACCGGAGGCGCGTTTCCCCAAGGTCTATATACCTTGCTTTCCCCTCGTCTTCGCTTTCCCCTCGTCTTCGCCTTCCCCTCGTCTTCGCTTTCCCCTCGTCTTGTCTTCGCTTTCTTCGTCTTCGCCTTCCCCTCGCTTTCTCGTCTTCGCTATCGTCTTCGCTTTCCTCATCGTCTTCGCCCCTCGTCTTCGCTTCTAAAAAAAAAAAATCTGCCTCCCGCCTTCCGGGAACCGCGGCCGCCCTTCCAGCGAGCGAGCAACAGCGCGGAAGGAGTCCTCCGAAGCGCCGAGCATCGCCTCCGGACGCGGCGCCGACTTCGCCTTAATGAGACCTCCGTGGCAGCTGGTTGGAGGGCGCTGCTTGGCGACGCGCTCCCGCCAGATCGAGCAACGTGCAAGTCTTCAAGATACGCACGCGCACACACACACACACACACACACACACACACGCATTTTTCTAAACCTTTAACAACCGAAGTTATTACATCATCATCATTAAAAATATCATCAGCATCAAAGTGTCAGCGTCAATCGCCTCCCCCGCAGGCGGTATCAGCTGACAGCTGGCTCGGCTCCGTTGCTTATCTAATCTCTCCTGACGCACGTCCTCGCCGCTTATCGCTCTTTTACATACTGCTGGCAATCCCCATTAACAAGCTCTATCTCGGTCCGCCATATCGTTTGTTTATCGGGCCATTTTTCCCGCATTATCTAAGCTCCGCTGAAAACATTCCCAAGTTGAGAAAGGACAGGGAAACTTTTCCGAAATGATGGTTTCTTTGTCATTTTGGTTCATTCCTTCTCTTTTTCTCAGCCTATGTCTGTCTGTCTGTCTGTCTGTCTGTCTGTCTGTCTGTCTGTCTGTCCGCCCGTCCGTCTGTCTCCATCAACACCTGTCAAATTTCACCCGATGCAGCTTTCCATTTCTCCTTTTCCTTCTGCCCTCCCCTGTCCCTGCCCTGTCCTCCTCCCCCTGCCCGCCCTTGCCCCCACTTCATACAATCGCCATTGAACACTTTCCTCTCATCTCTGACTCTTCCCTCTTGACTTTTTTTCTTTTGCTGTTCACACTCTCCTGTTCCTGCCCGGGAGGACCTTCGCTCCCCGGCACCCTCGCGTGTCACTCGGCCGAGAGTGTGAGCGGAGTGTGCTTGCGGAGCGAGTTTCCTCAGCGCGCCTGTTGAGTTAAAGGGGGAACGTGAATGTGTGGGTGCGTCGGCGAGTGAGTTGAGTAAGCGAACGTGTCAGTTAGCGGGTGAGCGGATGAGTGTTTGAGTGAGTGAGTTAGTGTATGACTGTTAGAATGATAAAGTGAGAGTAAGTGAGTGAGTGAATGAGTAAGTGAGTGAGTGAAAGAGTGAGAGTGAGTGAGTGAGTGTGTGCTGAGGCAGTGAGTAACTGAATGTTCAATTAATGTGCAGTGTTTGCATATACTCCAGGCATGAAGCAGCGAACAAAGTAGTCAAATAACCAGGCAGGTGCCTAAACCTCTCATCTTCCAGCCAAACAAACAAACACCAAGCAACGTCACCTGTTCATCTCAAACGCTCTCACACCCGCTCACCCGAGACCCCAACCCAGTCGGACTTCGCCCCGCCCGCCCGCCCGCCCGCCGCCCGCCCGCCGCGCCAGCAGCGCCGCGGTGGGAGAGCGACCAGCTGCTGCGCCCCTGCTTCTGCTGCCCCTCCGCTTGGCCCCTCGGCGCGCGGAGGGCGGTTGGGCGGCCGGGCACGAGGGGAGGAATCGCCCCTACTGACGGCGATACTTGTGACATGAAGGACAAACATAATAAAACAAAAACACCAACAATAATAACTATGATGATGTGATAATAATTAAAGCATTAATACAAAAAAAGTGATAATGATAATAACAATAATAACTATAATAATAATAATAACAATAATAGAAATAATAATAATATCATAATAACAATAATAATAATTATTATAATACACAATAATAACAATAACACAACAAAATAACAATAATTGGGGTAATGATAATAATGATCTGGATAATGGTATTAATACTAACAATAACCATAATAACGATATTAATAATAATAGCAATAACTACACCACCACCACCACCAGCAGTGGCAGCACACACAGAGCCACGTCCACAGACCCGCCAGTCATGCGACGGTCATGTGACTTCGCTGATATCCAAAAACTTTTTATCTTTTGAATCAGACAGGCTTACTAATATAAAAACAAACAAACTCAAGGACGCATCAGACTAATAATAAATCAAGACTTTAAAATATGAAACAACGGAGAAAGACAAAAGGAAAAGGAAAACGATTAAAAAGATATATATATATATATATATATATATATATATATATATATATATATATATATATATATATATACATATACATATATATATATATATATATATATATATATATCACATACATATACGTATATGCATATCTATACATGTACATATACATATAGATACATATTACATTACGCGAACGTGTTTGTGTGTGTGGTTGTGTGTGCGTGTGTGTGCTGTCTCGTACGTGCTATACATGTACATACACATGTGAAAACAATTAAAGAGAAGAAAATAATAATAAGAGTACGATGACGAAGATAATGGAAATAATGCTAATAAAAAATATCAACAATAATAACCGATACGAATGGGAATAACACAAATAAGAATATAAACAATAACAATAAACAGCAACGACAATGACAATAGCAATAATAATGAAAATGAAAATAATAATAATAATAATAATAATAATAATAATAATAATAATAATAATAATAATAATAACAACAACAACAATAATAATAATAATAATAAAAATAACAGCAATTATAATATTAGCAACGATTTTGACAAGAACAACAAGATTAATAATAATATTAAATAAAATAATAATAATAACAAATAATAATAGCAAACTCAACAATAACAATAGCAAAAATAAAAATAATAAAAATGTGATTCTAAGAGC